TCTCCTCAAAGGGGCGGCACAGCTCCGTCTTGTAGCGGCTGGAATTGACCTGTCCCCCGGGCTGCTTCTGCTGCAGCAGGCGCTCGCCGCCCTCGGAGAAGGAGCGGTCCCGGAAGCGGCTTTCCCGGGGGCTCAGCATGGGAGCCGGCTCCCCTTTCAGGCTGCTGAGGAGCTGGTTCTGATGAAACTTGGAGTTGGGCAGAGTGACAGAGTGCCTCCTAGAGAAACCGCCGCCTGCTGGGGTGCCCACCGCCTTCCTGTCCAGCAGGCACCCGCTGACACCCGAGGGGCTGTAATTCAACATCTTGTTGCTCTACGGGGAGAAAGGAAGGGCCGGTCACTGCCACTGCCACCACCTTCTTCGGCGTCCCCATGCAGCCCTGGGAGCGTGGCACGGCACCTCACCACCTCCCACTGCCGCGGCCGTGGGAGCGGCGGCCGCCCTGCCCTGACGGCTCCCCCGCTCCCTCCCTCCCTCCCTCCGCAGCCACATCTGCTGCAGCCCCCTTCGCCGCTCCACCCGAGGGCCTTGGGCCGCCCCTCCCCGTCCCTGGCGCAGCGCGGTCACGGAGCGAGCGGAGCGCCAGGCGCGGGGGGGGCCGCTGACAGCGCCCGAAAACGCCGCGCGGCTGGAGCGCTTTCCTGGGAGCGCCCCCGGGGACGGCGGCGCGCGGGAAGGGAAGGGCAGCGCGCGGCGCGGCGCCCGCCCAACCGCTCCCGCCCAGCCCCCGCCGCCCCGTGCCCCGCGCGGCCCCGCGAGGGGCGGCCGAACCCCGCGGGGACGGAGCCCGCCCGGCCCCGCGGCAGCGCCGCCACCCGCCGCGCCGCGCCCGGGCGTGTTGAAGCGCGGCGGCCCCAGGGGCACGGGAAGGATACGGCCCCCCCGCTCGGCGCCGCGGCCGAGCCCGCCAGGAGTGCGGGGCGGTTTCCCCATTCCGGAGCGGCAGAGGCGGGAAGCATGGGCGGGAAACCCCCGCGCCCCGATGCCCGTCCTCGGTCCCCGCCCTGCGCCCTCCGGTCCCAGCGCCGAACTTGCTCACGACCAGAAAACGGGGAAAAAAAAAAAACAACAAAACAACACGAACCCCAAAGAAGCTGGATAGTCCCGGAGTTGGTGGCGCAGCCCCCACCGGCCCCCTTACCTTGCATAAAACTTCGCTCAAGTCGAAGATGGTGGGCGACACCAGGGCTGTGGACATCTTCGGCAAGCGAGGGGGGAAGCGAGTGGGGCAGCGGCACTCGGACACGAGGAGTCACGGCGTGGGTAAGGCACAGCCTCCAGCGCCCCGGCTCGCAGCCTCCCCCCGCTGCTACTGATGCCGCCACCAGCCCACCCCGCCGCCGCGCTCGCTCCTCGCTTCCAGCGGGTCGAGGAAGGCTCAACTTATAAAGTTTCGGACTTACCCCAGGAGGAGGAGCCGGCGGTGGGAGGAAGGGGAGGAGGTGGAGGAGGACAGGGTGATTGACACCGCGACTGAATCACCCGGGCGGGCAGGCCCAGAAAAACTTTCGGGAGGAAGGAGGGAGGAGGGACGGGGGGGGTGAAGAACGCGAAGCGGCTGCGGGGGGGTGGCTGTGCCGGCCGGGCCGCGCCCCGCCCCGCGCTGCTCCGGAGGGGGCGGTTGTGTGGCCGCACCGACTGACTCCGCGCGCCTATGCGCGCGCGCGTCCGCGTGCCTGTGCGGTGACCGCGGGTGTGCGCGCGTATTTGCGCGCGCCCCCGTCCGCGCGTCTCCACGTTGTGCGCGTGCGTATCCGCGTGCGCGCGCGTGTGTAGCGCGGGGCGCGGCTCGGGGTGGGCACGCTCCCTTCCGCCCTCCGCGCGGTGGGGGTAGCGCGCGCGGCTGTTCCATCCCGTCCCGTCCCGTCCCGTCCCTTGTCCCGCGCCCAGCGGCCGGGCCGGGCCCCGCTTCGGCGGCTCCGCGCCCGCCGGACGTTTTTTCCCGCGAAAATCCAATGGAGTTCTGTCTGCTTGGATTTAAACTGATCGAATCTGTGTTCGGTGCGGCCGCTTGCCCGGAGATTGTGCGCGCTGCCGGGCTTTGTGTTGACCGCCCCCGCTCCCCGCCCCCATAGCCTTACTCCTTTTTTCCAGTTTTTAATGAAACCTGGCAAGTTCTACAAGGGGAAATAGCTTACATCCACATTAATTTAAATTGTTAAAATACGCCCTTTAAAAGGGCGTTTGATAAATCTTGCCTTTTCTCCCCAAAGAGTCCTCTTCCGGTCCCCAGAACTCAACATTGTAAAACTGAAAAAGAAAAGAAAGGCTCTCAGCAAGTAATCTGTTCCAGGTTTTAGTAGACAAAGTATGATTCAATGATTCATTCTGATCTCGATACGAGGGGAGGGAGGGGGAAGATGGTGGCAGTTTGTGTAAAAATAAAAATGAGCTGAACTGCACAAGGCTTATCAGTACCAGAGTGCCTCAGCTCCCAGTCTCTGCCCGTTTATCCCCTTTAGTCCCAGCTGAGGCTACGCTCTTCCCAACTATAACTTCAGAGGGTGTTTCCCCTAAGGCCGAGCAATGGCATCTGGGCCCTCTGCCCCACGCAGGCGGGAGAGGGGGGCTCAGACTGGCGCTGCAGGCTCTTCCTCCAGCCCTGCGATTCTGCTTGGCTGGGAGAACAGAAACCCCTGAGTTCGGCTGCAGAGCGCTGACCCGAGCAGCCATTGCACTGAAAACTTCAAACGAATGATCCACTTCCTCCTCTGTTTGCTTTGGAGTCGCGGGATCTGGACTTTGCACTGGCAGCTGATCTTTTTCCCCTCCTTTGGTCTTCAAGAACAGCCAAAATAATCAACTGAAACCCCCACAGGCTCAGGCTATTCCAGATTTCTATTATTATTATTATTTACTTAGGGAGAGCAATCGGGTTCCTCGAATTTCCTTCTCTTTATAGTTTCTTTTTTTCCCCTCGCCTTGGCCAGAAGTGAGGAGTAGGGGAGTGAACAGCCTATTATTTTCTGCAGTTGTTTACTCGTTCTGTAGATGGTGCTTGTTCCCAGGGCTCTGAGCTTCTCTATAATTAAACCCATTTTAATTGTTAGGTTAGAAACGTCATTTCGGGGACTTTCCAAGAGTTACCGAGAAAGCCAGCCGAGATAACTATTTCACTACCGAGTCGCTCCCAGCCTGTTTTTTGCGTGGTTCCTCTCTGTCGGCCCACCAGGGTGCAAAGCTGAACTCAGTGCAAGAGAGACGAGAGCCCAGGGCTGGCAGCTCCTCTACCAGCACAGCCGTCCACCCCTGCTGCTTTTGTGTTATTCGCTTGCACCGTATGCATTTGTTTTGGAAACTTGGGGTTTAAGGTTGCACATTTCCATGGATCAAGCAGCAAAAGCTGAAGCTGAGAAGGAATTTTTTTCCAGTGATTTAGCTTGGCAAACCCCGACTCCACGGTGGTCTGCCTTGCATTGCCTGCGCACATGCTCGTTGAGAAATTTAGCTGCTCGCCCCACCTCGTGGCTAAAAGTCAGAGCCCTCCGGGCCAGAGTGGGAATTTGTGTGGGCATGATTTCACACCAAGCAGAGGAATGAAAAAATCAGAGCCTTGCACCACCCGCCAGAGCCGTGCCAGAACTTTTGATAAATGCAAATGAATTAAGATAGGTAAATGAATAAATGAAAGTCGACTATTAAAGAAGATTACTGAAAAAGTGAGTGAATGCAATGCCATGCTCACTAGCCTTCTCATGTGGGTCAATCTGTCCAGGCCCAGCACATTCCAGTTGGGATACTATAGCTGGGCATGGGAAGTGGGAATAAATGTCCAGGACCTCCCAAGCCATTCCCATACTTGTCCTCAGCACGGAGCAGCTTCTGGAGCATTCACCTTCCCTGTTTCCAATGCAAGCAGATGCTAAATTTGTCTCAAAATACAGAGGGATAAGATTCTGCATCAGACCTGTATACACATTTAACAGAGGAATTAAGAAACACTTTCCTGAATGAGAGCTGAAATAGGCTAGAGTAGCTAGAAAATGGGGAAGAAACAGGGGGCAGTGAATGAGATGATAAAGGCAGGAGTTTTAAAGGATTAGTTTTTCCAGTCGCATGTGTGTATAAAACTTTGGGCTCGTTGGCACATGATGCTGTGGAGGTCAAAAGTATAAACTGGGTCAAAAAAGCAATTTGACAAATTTATGGAGGAAAAGTCCCCGGAGGTTTACTAAAGGCAAAGGGAAACCTCTGCAACATGTTGCTGGACAATGCACAGCAGAAGTATCACTCTCTCATTCCCCTGTTTTCCCCTGTTAGCATTGGCTGCTCTTGGAGGAAAACCGCAACAGACCTTTGACCTGATCCAGTTTGATTATTTTTACATAGTTAGGGTCTACTTTTCAGCTTTATACTCTGTCTAACCCTAATGGGCTTGGACGTGCGTGTGCCTCTCAAATTTGGGATTAGCTGTGCAATGTCACATTGTTTGGGACAGCCAGGAGAAAAGCACTGGGAAGTACAAATCAGCGCTGTCTCGTCCTTGAGCCACTGGGCACTGTTTCACATGCTGGCTTCCGCTAAAGGCTGGAGAACAGTCTCGTGGGGTGGCTGCACTGTTTGCCCAGTTTCACTCCCCATCAGGGTACTAAGAGGTTACTTTGAGCATCAAGTATAACCTGAATCCAAGTGCCAGCTTTGTCACAAATATATTTGATGATGGTACAGCTCCCATAGCAACAGAAGAAGGTTGCTATCTTAAGGCACCTGCACTTCATCTGGAGCTGTTTGGCAGTAGAAAGTCTGCAGGTTTGCTTGCGTCAGAGTTACTGAGCAAGAACATGAGTACAAAAAGTCTGAATTGTTGAAAACAAGGCGGGGGTGGGGTGGTTTGGTTTGTTCCCCCTCCTACCGCTTAGTTCCCAAAGTTTCAAGGTAGGAAAGGAAGTGCTTTCGTCATGAGCAAGGTTTTCCCCTGTGAGTTTCACATGATCTGGGCACTTCACTCCCTTGCTCACATGGGAATCTTCAGGTAAATAGACATGTCCTTTTTGGTTTTGTGCTCTGGTGTACAGAGGCTGAGGACAGAGCAAGGACAAATCTCCTGCTTTTAATTTTGCTGAGGGTGTAAAATGAGTCGAGGCTTTCTGCAGTCACTATTCTATTCATATCTTTTGTGTCCGATTCTATTTTTGTTGGCTGTGCCCCTGGAGGTGGAGGTGTGGAAGTGCGTTTCTGCTGGTCTTTGCAAGCGGTGTAGATGTTTCCTCTGTTCCAGGCACCACCTCAGACGCTGCGGCCTTACAGGAGGAGTAGGCGGATGTCAGCGTGGCCATTTCTCACCTGTCTGTAACTTTTTAATACTTCCTTTTACTTGGGTTTGCATTTCTTCCATGGAACGAACATCTCTGGGTAGCCACTGGGAGGTGTAAACGGCTTGGGATGGAAACCACAGCTTGTAGGTGCGCCCTCTGCCAGGCTTTTCTGGCACCCGAGGAAGCCCAGTCTCTGTCTGCTCCCAAGCGAAAGGGATATTACCAGCTGCTCGGTGAGAAAACAAATTCACAGAGATACAGGAAAGTGTGTTAAGTTGGTGGGAAGCAACGGGCATGAGATTCCTGGCAGCTCGGGTATGTAAACATTCGTAAAATAGAGAGTGTGTGCATGTGTGTACTTTGTGGTAGCAGGAAACCCAAGAATTCAGCTCCATTATTTTTGCTGGAATTGGTAGCAATGGTGCCAGACAAATATTATGTGCCCTTAATCCTCCTGACTTTACACCTGTGAATGACCTAAAGACCATCCAAGGTGATCTAAATTACAAGACATCTTTACTAATTAATAATGGGGTTTGGGATCTGATTTGGTTTTTCATAAAGATGGGTTTCTGTTTCTCAGTAGCTCAGATGCTGGGCTACCTCTGGGGGAAGTGAGGGGAAGTGGAGACAGGAGGTGGAGGTAATCTGTGACCTCTTCTGAAAATGTCACATGGATGTGACTAGCCTGCCACAAATTTAGCACTGGTGGCACTGACAAGACACTGCAGTGGAAAAAGCAGAGGTGTCCTTTTAGCAGACGCAGGGCAAGGAAATTGGCTGAAGTTAATGGATCTAAGTTATAATTTCCAGTGGAAATACTAATGCAATTAATATATTTCCACATAGCAGGACAGCAAGTCCATGCTAGTGTTTAGCTGTTTGTCATGATTGCTCAGGAGACTGGCCCAGCCACATCCTGGAATCTGTCCAGCTGCACCCAAACACATGCAGCCTGTGTGAGGGGTGGGAGCAGGGCTGAGACACAAACCACTATGCCAGTAGATTTGAGGGGCTGGAGGAAAAGAGCATCACCAGGACGGGCTGCTGCATGGTAGTGGAAAGCAAAGGTGGCTGAAGAGGAACATCTGCCCCTCTGACCCTGGCCTGGGTATGGGGCTGTTACTGTACTCCAGCTCTCCGGCAGGGCACCCACCACCCTGCCTGGGGTCTGCACACCCTGTCTAGACACAGGGCACAGGGCTGCAAAGCCCAGCACACCCCTCACGCAGTGCTGCAGATCTCCCTGCTGCCCATTTGCTGCTGGCACCTACCTACCACCTCCTGCAGAGAAACCTCCCTCTTCTTAGGGGTTTACCTGTTCTCAGTGAAGTTACAAACCCTCTAGGGCAAGAAGCAAGTCTCTTCTGATCTCCTCCCTGAACATGCCGCAACTGCATGAAGCTAGAGAAGGGATTTTCAATTCTGCCAGTGTGGTAATGGGAGCTGAGAAAGTGCCCAGCCAGCTACAGCAAGATGAGGTATGGAGCAAGATGTGTTTCTCATCACTGGTGGAGCAGATCCACGAAGCAGGTGTTGTGGAGAGTGGTGTGCTATCCCACTGCAGGTCCCCAAAGCAGCACCCCATCCCCCTCCCTGCAGAGAGTCCACGCACACGGGACAACCTGCGCAGCCTGGTGCCAGCACCCCCTTTTTCTCCGAGTCTCAGCTGAGCACGTGAGGGTCCTGGGGTCCCCAGCATCACTGGTGGGCCCAACCTCAGGAGCTGATTATGGTGTACAGCAAGGGCATATCTTCAAATAGGTGCCCTTAACCTGGCCTAATCTGCACATCTGCCGCAGCAGAGAAAAATCAAATATCTCTCACCTAAATAAATTGTTGTTCAGGTTAAGGGAAGTGCCAGAAGCTTTAAAGAAGCTGTTGGCAGTTTCCAGAAAAAAAGGAGCAAGTGACACCTGCTGCACATCAAAACAGCTATTGCCCATGTATCAACAGGATAGTTATGCATGTAACAAATGATCAGGGACATGGAAAGCACAGGTCTCAGAAACCAGGACAAATTCCACATTTTTTTCAAATCCTGCTTCCACAGTCCCAAGCCCATACACAGCAGGGCAATAATGCAGCACAGTGATTTCTGTTGGCCTCTGCCTATTTCCAGCCACAGCATCCCTGGCTGCTGATTTATTCAGCAGACATCAACCAGTGGAATGTTTCCATGATATTTTCATCAAAAAAATGTGCTAGGACTAAGTGCTTTCACCATTTTGTTTGTTTGTTTGTTTGTTTGTTTTTTAAATGAGGCAGTCTTAAACTATTCAGGATCCTCTCGGGTCATGACATTTATCTGACATGAAGTGCTGGTGTCAGAAGGTGCTGCTTGCAGTGCTGGTGGCTGCTTAACCTCCAACAGGCTTAGTTGTAACTCTCTGAAAAATACCATTTTGGTCCTTCATGGTGGAACTCGTCATAACCTTGTTTCCAAACACATGGGTTGCACTCCACACACCTTACAACTCCATGAGATATTTGCATTAGGGAGGCAGCTTGCTTTCCCACCTATCCTGTTCCATCAAAACACATCTTTAGCACCAAGCAGCCAAGGTCATCTCCTTTTCTTTTTTTGTGTTCCTCCTGCGTGCTCTGAATACATTGTAATACAGTCTTCAGCTCCACTATTATATCTTTTCCCACAAGACCATTGTCTCATTCAGTCCTCAGCAGGGAACATGCTTTCATCTTTGCCAGCTGGGCATGGTTGGAGCACCCCATGCCTGCAGAAGCTCCGTGGGGAGAACGTGGAGGCGAGGCTTTGCAGATTCTCATGCACAGAGGATGGAGGAGTTTGGTTAGGTCCAAATCTGGTAGGAAATTTCCAGGGAGCCTCTCCCACTGCCTCCTTTGTCAAGCCGGTAATGAAGAACGTCTGTGAGGATGGGATTCCTCTCATCTGATTTTAGGTGCCTAAAAGCTAGGTATCTAAACCTAATTAGTTGGACAGGCTTCCTGCATAGTCAATGGAGACAAATAGGCACCTCTAGTGTATGATTCATCTCACATATCTTGAAGTTTATCTTGAGAAGGGCTGACTCACCCGACAGCCAAGCACTGCTTCTCTTCCGTGACTGTAAAGGCAGGTCGGCAACATGTTGAGGACTTGACAAGTACATTTTGGATGTCCCAAGTTGGGTAAGGTAAGTCCTACTCCCAGCTGCGGCCGTGTCTGTTGAAAGAATCATCATTATGCTCTAGCTTGCCCCCTTCCCCCCTTGTGTCCCACAGAAGGTCCATTTCCAGCCCTGCCCAAGCAGGGCTGGGTTTTAGTCTGTCCAAATCATATTATCAGTCTTTATCACATTATCAGACCAAGTTAAATATTTATAAAGCACCTAGGGGCAGGGTCCATGTCTTTCTTTTGTTTGCATATTCCCTTGAAGAGTAAAGCCCCTGTGCTGGTTGCAACCCTTTGCAGACTGGTGCAATACAGCACCATGAGTCGCTGTGCTAATCTGTAGGTCTTGACAAAATGCAGCCGGGAATGCAGAAAGAGCTCATGGACATTGGGAAATAGGCAGGAGTGAATCATAAGAGTCAGGAGAAGCAACTAATGTGTGGGAAAAAGGCAAATGTGCTACCTCGGCATAAACATATAATAAGGAAGTATGTAATAATAATTATTGTTATTGTAATACGGCCTGGGTGAGCATTTGGAAAAAAGATATCTAATAACTGACAAGCGACATGGCTCGGTTTGTTTTGATCTGAAATTCAAACAATGGTTGTGTTTATAAGGCAATAATACGCAGGGCACAGAGCACTGGCACCACACCAACTATGCACTCCTCAAGTTGGGTTTATATAGGTCATGCCAAACAAATAATAGTGTTCTTCAATATAATTACTGATTCATTACAGAAAGAGAATGTAATCGAGTCTGTTTGGATTTCAGGGAGGTGTTAGATACGGTAAATTCATATATTTGAACTTTTATTGGGAAAGCTTTGTGCGATCGCCTAACTCTGCTCCTGGAGGAATCAGCGATAAAATTCCCACTGCTGCCTGCCCTGGCAGCCTGGGATCCTTCCTGCAGGCTTCAGCAGTTGCTCATGCTCCTGCTGGCCTTTGCAGACTCTTTCAGTGCCCTTTGAAGCTCTTCACAGGTAAATTGGGAAACTAAACTACTTCTAGACTGAGACCCAGATACAAATGCTGGACATGGCACTTATCTCAGGCAATTGCACCCATCCCTTGATCCTGGGCTCACCACAGCCCCTCCACTTCTGAACCTCCTTGTATATGGCTGACTTCTGGATGTGTCTCTTGAGACGCATTATTTCACTGTTATTTCAGGGGAAAGCAGCAAAAGACAAAGGACAGGATGGCCTGGCGGTGCCCACCAGCTCCCTGGATGAGAACACCCTAGTTTAAGTGGCACACTTGGCCACAGGAGAGTTAAACTGGGTTGTCCTCATCCTGGGAAGATGTCTGTGGGGTTGGGCAGTGGTTGGGCCATGCTGCATGATGAGAGGGTGCTACCAGCACTCATCATCAAAGGAGAAGGGCCAGGCTCAGCTGATGGTGAGGGATAATCAGGGATGCTGCTCTGGAGCCTTTTGGATGGCTTTGCCACATGGCATTCCCTGGGGCATGGTGAACTGGCATTTTGGCTGCAGCACTCTGCTTTCCCCAGGAAGACCTGGGCAGCCCTGCACCAGTCCAAGGTGTTCCTTGCTGGCCTCTGCTCTGTATGGACCCTGTACAGCACACAGGGATGGATGATGGTGCCCAGAGTAGCATCCTAACACCCAGCTGCTGGGACCAGTGACAGGGCATTGCTCTGCGTGATGCCTGGACTTAAGGGTTTATCCAAGAAAACACAAGGCATTGTGACACAGTCTTGGAGTCAGCATGTGTCATGTCCATGACCAGCCCTGCTGCTGCTCCCCACAGTGCGAAGGGCAGAACCCCAGTGTCCTTCTTCCTGCTCTGCCCCAGGGAGCAGCTGCCTTTTAAAAAAAGGCAAGATAGGGCATAGCATGAGGCTTCCAGAAAAACAGGGACCATGCCAGTCGCGTTGGTGGACCAGCACCCAGTGGAGGGAACACTGGTAGAGCACTAGACCCACTAGTCAGTTGACTTCCGTGAGTCCTGAAGAAGTTCATCAGGAACAAGTAGGACCATAGTAATTTATGCTTTCAAAAGGTTTTTTGATAATGGCCTTTCCAAGAATGAAACAAACTTGGCAGCCATGGGATGAAAAGTCCTGTCATGGATTGAATATTGAGTCAGAGCTAATAGGCAGGAGGGAAAATCCATTAAAAGTAAAAGGCCAGTGTTCCAAACAGGGAAGAAAAGCTTACAGGGGTTGGAGGGGGTGGTGGGGCCATGCCTGTCAGAGATGAAAGCGGCCCTCTGAATACCATTCCAAAAATCAGTAAAGGGGGAAGAGGAATAACAAGGCAACAGCATTTGCTGCCAACAGAGAACCATGTATTATAATTGCAACCAAGACTTGGCAGGACTGGAAGGGACTCCAGAAGATTCTAACTAAACTTGGAAGCCAAACCACCATGACAGAGAAAGTTCAGTACACACAGATGCCAAAGCAAGCTATTTTGGAAGAAATTGAGCAAGCCTCTTGCTCTGAATTAGAAGTTGGCTGGTGGGGGTCAGCAGTGGACACGGGCAAGGACTATTCAAGTGTTGCATGTAAAAGACCTGCTCTGAGGGTCAGCATGAAGAACATGTCATCGTATAACCTGGGCACACATCACAGTCCATGTCCGCTTGCCCACTGCGAAGCAGGACCTAAAGAAACACTGTAAGATGGACCATACTGAGTCAAGAACAAAAGTCCGCTAAAGGCAGCACAGAAGAATAGAAACGGGATCAAAGGCAGAGCCGAATGGGAGACTTCTTCCATGAAGGGAGGTTGAGGAGTATAATATTTCATTTGCACTAGGGTTGCAGAGGTCTACAAAACAATAGTTCCCTTAAGTAACAACTGGCTGATGCTTTCAGTTTATTTGTACTTTGCAAGTTGAAAAAAAAGATGTAAAGGTGCTTTTAAAAATAGTTGCAAGGGAAGTTACTGCTTTGCCACTGGGCTGCCTCTCAGTACTGTTCCCTGCTGGGTAAGATCTACTGACAAGCTCATACCTGGCCTGAACTCAGTTGCCTCTGCGTGCCAAACCACCCATAGCAATGTACTCGCTCAGGCTGGGTTTGCTGACACCCACTTTTGCAGAGGCTGGATTCAACTGCCTTGTGGGCAATGTCCAGCCCTGGGCAGCAGCTGGTGAAGCACAGCCTGTACACTGAAAGGCTGCTTACATCAGTGTCTGGCTGTCATGGAGTGGGGACCGCATTCCAGGGAGAAACATGGTCCCTGGCAGGGTGTGGTGACACCAAGACCCGGGCAATAAGAAACGGAAGGAGGTTGTGTGTGTAAATAATTTACTAGTAGACCTAAATGCAACCAGGCCTTTGTTTATTTTTACGAAGTCAGTAAAGAACCACACTGATTCTGAGACTGGAGTTTGGGGACCAGAGGCTGCGAGGTGACATAAAGCAAAGGCATCTGTCCTCTCTGTGCGGGAAGTTAGCCAGGCTGGGAGGGGACAGATGCCTTCCGATTTCCAATTTTTCCTGCAAACACAAACCTTTGTGGAGAAACTAGAAAGGGAGAAGTGCAATGCATATACAGGTGACTGCCCCGGAGAGGTAGGAGCTTTGCCACATGATCTGTGGATGACCAGGGAGGGGAAATCGTTTGCTGAATGATGCCTGTCACTATTTCAATCAGTATTTCTGGGTGCTCCCAGCTGCCAGTGCTGTGCTGGGAGCCTGGGTTCATGGAAAGGTAGGGTTTTGGCTGAGAAACAAAAAGCAAAGCCTGGACTTACTGTCATCAAAGAAGAGCTAATCATGCTCCTCACAAGAGCAGACACACTGGGGCTGGTGTCTGGGCTGCTGTGTAGTACAAGTGCTGATGGGATGACATGATGTCCTGTTCCACAGCACAGTTACCTCAGTGTTGCCAAACCCAGGCAGCCTTGGGAATCAATAGCAGGATGCTTCCTCCTTAGAAATCATTTGCTTTCTGTAAGGCGATAAAAGGTCTTGCAGACATGTAGACATTGATTACGGGCTACTGGGGAGGAAGAGGAAGGTTACTTCTCCTACTTTACTGCTCTTTTTGTTCTATAAAACTCTGCTCCATACATCATGTGGTTGTAAGAGAATCTAATTTTTCAGTTAAGAAAAGCATTCTGTTCCTGCTACCTAGTGCAGAGAAAAACATGAAAACTCTGGAGTGTGAGTCAAAGACTAGAGTCAAAAGCAAACATACAGAATTCAACATTATTGGTTTTATTTTATTTTTTTTTATTATGTTCTTTAGGTGACTGGCATTATTTTGGAACCCAATTCTCAAACATCTGGGATTAGCTCTCCTGGAAATGTGAGGATGTGGGCCCTCTAGTGCCACTTGGAAAATGTCAGTATTCCAGCCCACAGTCTGCAAGGGAGGTGTTATTTGGCAAGTAACTAGAGTTTAATCAGAAGTTTGGGACCACCTTCAAGTGGTCAAGGAGAAAAACAAATCAAATTTTCTTTTTCAGGTCTCCTGCATGTGGCCGGTCCAACTGGATAATAGGTCCAGCAGTAACTCCTACCAATAGGAACTCTTCCCCTTCAGTGGTTGCTTGATGTCCTGTGTGAAATGAGAGTTCAGCCAATGGTATAGGCAATTCTTAGTGGACAAGTATCTATGCATGTAATTCTGCAGTAACTGGTGTCTCCATGTCTGCCATTCTCCCTTGCCAGCCCAGCAGAGATAACTGAAGTTACCTGGAAATAAATTTCTCCATCAAGTGTCCTAGCTGAGGCTTTGCTGCAATAACAGCACATGCACAACTTGTGCTGCTTAGTTTATCTTTGGATGGACAATTGCTATCTCCAGGCCTACAGAGTAAGCATTGTTAGATATATTAAAATAATTTTTAAAAAGTCTTCTGACTCCAAAGTTCACAGCCTTTCAGTTTATGTATATCCAGCTGGGAAATCATGCCCACTAATTTTTACTGAAGTTTGCAGTTGATTGACCCACCAGTACAATGCCAGGATGCTGGGTAGACTTGTGCAGCTCCTCCGAAGTTCAAGTGCGTTCAAGACGCATGGCTCAAGGATGACCAGTGTGTTACCTCTAATATCATTGATGGATAAAACCCCTACAGATTCAAGTTGTAGTGGATATGACAGTGTCTGTTGCAAGTGGAGCTGTTTCAAAATGCAAACCAGAATTTCTAAGTGTCACTGAAATGCTGAAGATCCATTGAGGAGCAGGTGTGGGGTGGTGGATGGTAAAGGCTTTTTTAGTGAAACTGTTCAAAAGAGCAAGTCTGCTGATGAAGGGGGGGGTCCTATGGTCACCTCCAACATTATAAGCAGAATGAAAAGCAGCAGCAGCAGCAAAATCCAGTAATGCACCAAAAGATAAGTGTCCAGCCTAAATCAGGACAACAAAAATATCTGTGCTGGTGAATTAATATGCCAGTCTACACCATATTTCCTGAAGCAGTTGAACCCTTAGCCATGAAACTCATCCCAGGAAGAAGAGCTGTTGTAATGACAGTGCTATAGAGGGGGTTAGATCTGCCTCCTAGATGAGCTGTTTACTGTTATGACAAGCTTGCATTTGTGAAATGCATACTTTTCACAGAATCACAGAATCATTAAGGTTGGAAAAGATCTTCAAGATTATTGAGTCCGACCTTTGAGCAAACACCACCATGTCAACTAAATCACAGCATTAAGTGCCAGATCCAGTCATTTATTGAATGCTACCAGGGATGCTGACTGCAGCACCTCCCTGAGCAGCCTGTTCCAATGCTTTACAACCCTTTCAGTGAAGAAATTCTTCCTGATGTTCAGCCTGAAACTCCCCTTGAGCTTGAGGCCGTTTCCTCTCCTCCTGTCACTAGTTGCCTGGGAGAAGTGGCTGACCCCCACCTTGCTACAACCTCCTTTCAGGTAGTTGTAGAGAGAAGTAATGTCTCCCCTGAACTTCCTGTTCTCCAGGCTAAACACTGCCAGCTTCCTCAGCCACTCCTCATCTGACTTACTCTCTAGACCCTTCACCAGCTCTGTTGCCCTTCCCCGGATCTGCTCCATCACCTCAACACCCTTCTAGCAGTGAGGGGCCCAGAACTGGACACAGTACTCAAGGTGCAGCCTCACCAGTGCCAAGTACAGGGGAACAATCACTGCCCTGGTCTGGCTGGCCACACTATTGCTGATACAGGCCAGGATGTCACTGGCCTTCTTGGCCACCTGAGCACACTGCTGGATCATGTTCAGCCACTGTTCATCAGCACCCCCACATTCTTTTCTGCTGGACAGCTTTAAAGCCACTCTTTCCCAAGCCTGTAGTGCTGCATGGGGTTGTTTGACCAAAATGCAGGACCCAGCACTTCACCTTATTGAGCCTCATACCACTGGCCTTGGCCTGTCAATCCAGCCTGTCCAGATCCCTCTGCAGATGCTCTCTGTAGTATCAGAAACAGTAAAAAATAAGTGTTTTGGTGTATGTATGCACTGGTGAGAGTGCATGTATTAGACTAAGAAGAGTGTGCATATTTGCATGTGTGTGTGTTTGTGCTGGTTTAAGGACTCATGTATGTGCATGAGAATAAGTGCTAGTGAACATATGAGTGGCCATCATGCATCCGCATGTAAGCACCTGAAACTGCAGAAGAAAAAGGGTGGGTAGGGCTGTGTGAGTGCTCATTCACTGCAAGTTCTCACTGAGTGGTTTTTGCCAGCCGTGGGGAGTGTGGGTCTGTACCAGTGGGAGGGCAGAAGAGCAGCAATGTGGGTACAGGCACCAGGGTGTGTGGGAAGGAAGGCGAGCGCCAGTGCAGGACAGCGCTCAGGGCACTGCAGTGCCAGAGGGGAGATGCAGGAAGGCCTTTTCCCAACTGTTTCTACAACATGGTTTGACTCAGCAAAGCATTAACATGGTAAAGAAAAGTCTAGAAGGGCTCCTGCCAGCTACAAATAGAGCGATCAACATATACAGGATGTGGTAAGAGCTAAAGGCATCCCGTTATTAACTTCACTTTTATTTCTAGGGGATTCACTTCTCTGTTCTGTTTACTATTTGGGAAGTGAAATCTAAGATCATAGTACCATTTAAAAAAAAATACCTGTCACAGCTCATTTGTTTTTCTACTTCATTATTTTCCTTTTAAAAGTTACTTTGCTTTTCTTGAATGGAATTTATTGAAATTGCTGGTAACACATGAAGTCTTCACTCTGTTTCTCTCCTGAGAAATTACCTAATTTGCTCTCATTTGAAACTGTTGACTCTGAGGGGAGTGTTTACACCTCACAGTGTGCTCACAGTATGGTGCAACTCGGAGCAGAGGAAACAGCACGGGTTCCTCCTCAGCACAGCCAGAGCTTGTACACTGCTCACAAGGTGCTTTGTAAACATTTATTCATTCTTGTACACACGCTCCCTTCCCTCCCCCATCAGGTGAGGAAGTATTATTGTCACAATTTCACAGATGGAAGAAGTGAATGCACATAGGTTTGGTGACTCACCCGCAACCACTGAGGCTGATTTAGAGCTGAGGTGTTAAGCTCCCAGCCACCTAATTTAACCCAGCAGGTCACGTTCCCACCCAGGGCTGACAATATAGATAGTGCCAGCTCCATCTATCTGCCACCCACTTGTCCTGTGAAGCAGTAACACTCATCTCCACATTTGCAGAATGAGATCAGATTGCTGTGGCTTACTCCATGTGATGGTGTCATCAGAGCGCAATATATCATTATGATATCATGATGTTATTGTGCCTGAAACTAACGCAAGGCCACGCAAAGAACAGAGGTAGGCAGCTGAAAATCAGCAACCATGTACTCCTCAACCACATCACACACACACACTGTTACCAGGGTGTTGGTTGATTCCACCATACTGCAAAGATCTGCAAACAATCTGCATGCTGGGCAGGATCTCCCCACCTTCACTGCTGGGGTTTGGGTTAATTTCTGCCCTATACAGTCCTGGTGAAAATGTCTGAGGTAGGAAAGATGGCTCTGTGAGGAGGTGGAAGGAAAATGGTTGCCTCTCAAGTGGAAATGGCTCTAAAAGCACATGGTCAGAAGATAAATATCATGGTCCCAGTTCTCCAGTGGGGCTAGTTGTTTTTAAGTGCTGAGCACTTACGGGAAACTAAGCCTTCTAAATGTGGTTCTGTACAAACACACAAAAAACCCCAGAACAGAACCTTCAGTGTCACATCACGACTGAACATCCAGGGCCACATGTTGCCATTGTTTGATTCTGCTTTGCTATTTAAAATCCTCACCTGTGTTGTTATTCACTCCCACACAGAATCAAGAAAAACAACAACAATAAAAAAACCCGCTCCTTATCATCTTCATTTACTTTTCACACTGTTTACATGGGGAATGATCTCACTCATGCCTAGCTCATCCCAGACGACTCAGATTAGTCAGTTCCGCTTTCTGAGACCGGCTCATTTGGCTGACTGGGGCTCAGACCCTGCAGGATGCTGCTGCACCCAGCGTCACACTACGGAAGGGGAGGTCAGCTTTCCCTGCACGAACCTTAACTTTCATTTTTAAATAAAACACATCGTATTTTCATCTTTGGAATATAATCTTTGTAACAGGCTGTTCCAATGACTCTAGTGTTTCTTTTTGCCACGTGCAAAATTTGTTTCCATTGCCACGACAAAGTTTGCAGAAAGATCCATCTTGATTTCTGTGGGCTTTGGACCTGCCTCACAGGGTCTGGTACTGCATCTGCTGAGAGCAATGCCAAAACGCCCACTAATTTCAAGGTATGAGAAATTAAGGGTCTCAAAAGTACTTGGGAGGGGGAAGGGAATGCATTTGAATACCAGGATTGTTCAGAGGCCTCCCTAAATCTCTTCCTACCATGGTGTGTGGTTTTGGGGTGCATTGGGACTTTACAGTTGTAGAGAAATGGGTGAATCTTGAGCATCTAGAAGGAAGATGGATTGTTCTTCTTCCTCTGACCCTCCTTTAGGAACTAAGTGCCACCCAGACTGTGCCAGAGACATGGGTTGTAGAGAGTCAGGACAACACCCTTCTGGGCTGTTGGCTCTGGAGTTGAGGTTTCCTTCTTTTCCTGACTGAGGGTTAAATGTGAGTTTTCCTCCGAAATCAGGGCAGCCAGTGCTCTGACCAGTGGCAGGAGAGCATAGGCTGGCATGTAGAGGAGCCTCAAGTCAGCACCTTTGTCCACAGAAACAGAAGACCCACTGTTGTTGAACTGGCAGAGAGTTAATCTCTTAGTTAAAATATTACTGGGCTCTACCTGCTCTTATCCTTCCACAGTGCAAGGGGCAAAGGGCTCAGTAGGTCAGCTGGCTAGTACCTCACAGCAACTGCAGGGACCCGGTCAAGACCCAGAGTTTGACCTGTGCCTCCTTGGTTAGATCCTTTTCCACAGTTCATGTAATTCTTTTATAGCCCTTGTTCATGCTTCGGTATGTTTCATGCTAAACAGAACAAAGGAAGAACCCTGGAGAGAAGAAAGCCAAGGCTAAAACTAGGTACAGTCAGCACGTCAGTTGTCCTGCAGTAACACTGAGTGCACAGGATGCTCAGGAGGGCAGCCTCAGCACCGCTGGCTGGGAGAGGAAAGTCCAGCCCTTAGAACAGTGAAAAACACAGTGCCTAGATTTCAGGAGTCCCCAGTAGGGAAGGCAGCTGTGCCAGCTGTGAGAGACAAATAAAATGCCTAGTTGAGGAGTCACAAATTCAGCGCAAACACCCAGGCAATACCTCCTCACCTTCTTCTCCTAAGCGGCATGCAGCCAACACCCCGTGGCACAAGTAAGCAGAGCCCTGGGCAGCACTGGACTTGTTTGCTGCTGGCATTGCTGCTGTGCCTACCCCAGCCACAGCAGGGGCTCCCAGACCTAAGCCACCAAGACTGCAAGTTACAGTTTTGCTGGCCAAAAATTTTCTAAATGGGAACAGCGAGCAATCCTCACTATCTCTTGCAGGTTCCAGTTCAGCAATGTGAGCTACACCCATTCATCTAAATGCAGAATTAGCTCTGAAACTAATGATAAGGTTTTAAATGCCGTCATACAGCTAATTTATTTCCCCACTGTCCCACAGTGCTTCCCAGGTGCTGAAAAGCTTAGCTGCCAAAATCTCTGTGGCCTCTGCTGACAACCTTAGAAACGCAGCTCTGCATTACACCATCTCTAGCATTCATGTGGGCTCTGAGTGCTTTCAACCCTTAATGTGCTGAGCCTCAGAGCCCCCAGCAGTGGGGGAGGGGCTGTTCTTCTCCTGACACAGCTGAGGAGAAGCAACTTCTCTCTGCTTACAAGGAGAAGTGGGTGCTAGGGCACCACCATCAGCTATTGCCTCATGTCTTTCATGTGTGTCTTCCCTCCCAAGAGCAACATGCTGTACCTTGATGTCAGTGGAGTTACACAAGTGTAAGCTAGGTGTGATACCACACCACAACACACTGGCTGTGAGGAAGGCACAAGGTCATTCCCCCCTTGGGAAGAAGAGAGAAGGACATGGGTGTATGTACACACACGAGCATACCTCGGTGGCTGTGTGTAAACACATGTGTACCGATGGAGTTCCCACTGGGAGACGTGCCCCATGTGCCATATGTCTGTTCAGGCAGAAAAGCATCACTGCCCCAGTTCCTGCAGCAGAATCCTTTTTATAAACCAGAATTAACTCCAAAGCCAAAAATACCACCACAGGGCAGCCTTCCTGATAGGTGGAATAGTTTCCTCTTGAGAAGAAACCTGGTGGAAATCCCCTCTAGAGACATTTTTAACTTTGCCAGAAAATGTACAATGGGAGTGACTGCTTTAACTAGTGAGCTGACTGGGATGAGCTAATGGGTTTTTCCATCTCTGGTGTCTAGTTCCAGGGATTTCCATGAATTGCTGTCAGGACAGAAGAAGGCAACAGATTGCAACTGTGGGATCTGCTGTTTCAGCTCCACTGACACGTCATTCCCCCAGGACACCCAGTGACCTGGTTAATCTAGTTCTTTGCTTCTGACTTCTCGTAAATGATTTATCAACTGGCGTGGATCCCTGTTTGCTTAAGGAGGCGTGTGACGACCTCTAGCAGACCGGCTGCACTGAGCTACTGCCTGCATTTGGCACCTGGCTGCTGGTCCCAG